AATATTGCCTTCTACACAAATGACAACTCTATCCTTCAGTTTCTTTAGCCAAAACCTTTGCAGTCTTCTAAGCACTTCTCTTCCTCCATTTTAGCATTTTATCCATTTTCAAATGTCCCTGGCTCTACCATAGAAATATATCCAGTATCTCAACACTTTTCTTTATATCCATTGCACCAATCTGGTCCCAACTACCATCATCTCTTGCCTGGGCTACTGCAGAGAACTTAAAGGGAGAGAGTTGAAAGCTCTGAAGGGGATGGTCATCTGGCTTTGGGATCTGCCATCTTTTTGTCCCCTGAGAGCACTTGTAAACTCTAGACACAGCTAGAAACTGAGAGTCTGGACATGGCACAGGCAGAAGGCCATGGCTGGAAGACAGAGAAACTAGCAGAACTTTTGATGGTCGTTTGAAGTTGGAGTGCAAAGCAAGAGACCTCAGGGAAATTAAAAACTTGATTGGTTTCCTCAAGAACTTTTCTCAGTTCTACAGCTGCATGAAGCAAGAGGCGGAAACTATGACAAAACCTTTGAAAAGCATGCAATTGAGAAAACTTGACTGCAGTCTCTCAGTTGAAGGCCCTGGGCATCCTCATCTGGGATCAGAGCAAACCAGAGGGATAGTAAATCTTATGAAAAATGCAAGCAAATTTTGAGTTATCTCATGCCTGACTGTGCAGTGTAGTCTGCCTCATTATTTCACTTGCCTAGCAGAGGAAAGGGGAATCACTCTTATGTCAAGGAGAACAGTGTTTGGAGGCCCTATGTCTTGCATACACAATGTCTGGCATTCGATCAAAAGTTAACAGACATGTCAAAAATTAGCACTATAAGACCAAACCAAGAGAAAAAATGATTATGGAAACAGATGCAGAGATAATCCATAAATTGGACTTAGCACACAAAATCTGTGATTAAAATGTACAAGAAAATGGATAAAATGGTGGAAAAAATAGAAAATTGAATAATTCCACCAGAGAATGGGAACCTACAAAAAATAATCAAATGGACTTTTTAGATCGGAAAAATACAAATTTTTAAGTTAAACTCAATGGAAGGATTTAAAAGACAAAATTAGTGAATTGGCTAACGAGAAGACAGAACAATAGAAGATATCGAAAGAAAGTACAGAAATTTAAAAAATGGAAAAATATGAAAGGAATACATAAGAAACAGTCAAAAGTCTAATATAACCTGTTTCTGAATCCTAAAAAGAAAGAGGAGGAAGCTGGGGGGAGGGCAGAAGAAATAATGGCTAAGGATTTTCCAAAATGGATAAAAGTCATCAATTCACAAATTCAAGCAACTGTGAAAACACTAACAAGATAAATGCAAAACAAAAACAATCAAAAAAACAAAACCAACCCAAAAACAAATGTAGACTCATTACAGTACAAATGCTAACAGAAAAATCTTAGAAGCCATCAGAGAAAAACTTCATGAGCCACAATCAAACGTTAAGCCATAAACTTTGAAAAATGGCAGTTAATCAATCAATCAATCAATCATTCAATTTCTGGTGTGGTGGGGCAAGATTCAAAACACCTCAATCTCCCCCAATTCCCACAAGCAATACAGCTTTCTGTTGAAAAAACTTGAGTTGGAAAAGGCATTTAAAAATATTATTAATCCTCAAGGAGATGAAACCATGGTGAGGATTTGCCAGGCAAAAGCAAAAGGGAAGGAGAAACCAGAGAGGTAAGCAGAGCATAGACACAGTTTTGACTTGAGGGCTTTGCTGATCCCAGAGAATCAGGACCTCAGGTTTGACAGCCTTAAGAGGTGGGAGGGACAGAAAAAAAGCCTAGAGTCTGCACAGGGTGGAGAGCCCAGTGGGAGCCCAGACCCTGACCATGACATCTTCATATGAGAATAAAGTGGAGGGAACAGCTCTGGATTTATTTAATTGCAATCCCAGTTAAATCACCTGGGTTCCTCCAGGTTCTCTCAGACGCGGGGCTTGTGTTAAAGAATTCCTACACTGGTGTGCCCTGAGGCACCTGGATGTAGCAAACGGAAATCCTTTCCAAAGCCTACTGCCTTCACTGCAGTCCCAAATTTACCTATAAATGACTTTTTCCAAATACAATGTTAGCACACAGTCAAAGATAACCAGCTATATAAACAAAATAATCTTTGTGAAGAGAGTGTGGAAAGGAACAATAGTAACTTTATCGTGGAAAAGCCTGGAAAACACCACTTACACCAAATGATCAAGGTCAACATCCTTGGTGTTAAGTCAGGTTGACGTGTCCCCTGATGTGATGTGAGGAGAAGGGCATTTTCACCTTAACTACAGTCTAATCATGAGAAAGACGTCAAGACAAACCTAAATTGACAGATTCTACAAAATGCCTGATCAGTACTCTTCAAACTGTCAAGGTCATGAAAGAAGAGGAAAGACTGAGAAACTGCCACAGACCAGAAGAAAACAGGTAACAGGATGGCTGGATGCAGTGTGGCATCCTGGACTGATTCCTGGAACAGAAAATGGACATTGGTGGAAAAAACGGTGAAAGTGAAAAAAAAAACCAAAAAACCTGGGCTTTAGTTAATGGTGGTGTACCATTACTTTCAGTTTTGACAAATATACCACAGTCACATAAAAGGCTAACACCACAGGAAATGAAATTGGGTGTTTCTATATACTTACGGAAACTTCTGACAATCTTTGCAACTTTTCTGTAAATACAAAATTATTCCCAAACTGAAAGTTTATTTGAAAAGAAGAAACTCTGTCAGTGAGAACTCGCAGAAACAGAAAAAAGGGCCACAAACACCTCATATGTTGAAAGTATCAGATGCCAACTATAAAACTTCTTTAATCTGCATAAGGCTTTTTATCAAAAAACAAAACGTATAGCAAGCATCATCCATATTTGCGCAATGATAAAAGTTTTCCCTTTGGGATAGGAATCAAGATACAGATGGTTACTACACTACTATCTACCATACACAAACTGCTAGCCCACACAGTAAGGTAAGAAAAAGAAGCAGGAAGTATAAAAATTAGATTGGAAGTAACAAAATTGTCATTATGTATACATTATGTAAATATATATATATATATACACACACACACACACACAAAATATATATCTCCATACAAGTTATTATTATTTTTTAAAGTTTGCTGAAGTTTCAGTGTATTTTTATATCTTCGTAACAAGTAGCTAGTTTGAGTTATCTGGATATAACTGCATGAAGATCTTGAGTATCTATGAATAAATCTATCAGAAGGAGTCCAAGACCTCTGGGTAGAAAAGTTTAAATTTTATTAGAAAATATTTTAAAATTAATAATATATATATTCCATATTAATGAGATAGAAGACACAATATTATAAAGATGTCAATTCTCTTCAAATTGAGCTGTAGATTCAACGCAATCCTAAAGAAAATCTAGACAAGATTTTGACAAACTAATTTGGCAATGGAAAAGGCCAACACACTTTGGAAGAAGAAAAGAATGTGGGAAGGTTTACTCCACCAGTTATCAAGAAAGCTTTCACATGAAGCTGCTGTCATAATAAAAGTGTAGAGATGAAAAAGGAGAGGCTGTCATAGATCAATGGCAGAGAAGAGAGGGCACAGAAACAGACCCTGCACACATGGCCTCTTGGCTAATGAGAAAGGTGGCTTTGCACATCAGTAGGGGAATGAATGGTTTAACAGTTTAAAGAATACTCAGAAAAAAATTGGTCAGAATGAAAATAGAGGCTTCACACTGTAGATCAGACGGGGAGCAATTTGGTCTCAGATAAGACAAGAAATTTGAAAGGAAAAAAAAACCCCAAAACTCATTCAGCTTAAAACTGGGGCATGATGGGAGAGCTGCCCAGGTAAGCCCGAGAGATACGGCTTAAAATTATGGCCGGCATGTGAACAAGGAAGCAAAGCAACACTGAAACCAAACTGCAAACAGAAGTAGTCTGGAAGGATAGCCCAGTGGATGAAGAAAACATCCCCGGAACACATTATGTCACATAAAAACTTTAAAAAAAATAAAGCAAGAGCGTGAAGGTGGGATGATAAAATAAGAAAATGTGGTTTAAAATGGAGTTGGAAGAGCTTCAGAAACAAATTAAGATTCCCTCCCCAAATAAACACAATCAACTATTTTTGAAAAACAAGAAACCAAAAACTACTAAAAATTAAATGCCGTACGGAAAAGTTTGAGACAACCATTGTGAACAGAAAGTAAAAATCTAAAGAGATAAAATTTAGGGACAGATAAAAGCTGTGGATCACTATGCTGAACACCAGAAACATCCTGCCAGAGGGTAGGTGGTGAATAGGGAATGCATAATGTGTTTCTTCTCCATTAAAAAAATCTAAAAATTTAAAATATTAAGCAGTGTTATTTCTGACCCATCGCTAGAGAAAAAGAGGGGATTTCTAGCCTTTTGCTTGTGGAGGAAGAACTGATTCCACAACAGAAAATAAAGGAAAAATGAAACTACTCCGCCTGTGCCAGCCCTTCGCAGTTCGGGGCCTTTCTCTTCCCACCAGGATGGCTGGAGGAGGAGCCCAGGCTCCCAGCCAGAGGCGGGAACAGCGCCAGGGCTGACAGGCCACAGGACAGGTAGGAGCCCCCATGACCCACGGTTGGAAAGCAAGTCTGGATTTTTTATTTTCTAAACTATGTGAAGGTAGAGCTGACCTCAGCGTGCTCAGGGGCCACGAGGAAATAAAGCCTTGCCCCAAAGCCTGATGGAGAGCAGGCGCCTCCCGCAGGCCAGCCGGCTGGGCCGCGGCTGCGAGGCACAAGTCTCGGCTCATGGGCGCTGCGGCAGCGGGACTCGACCGGCGGCTGCCCCGCCGCAGTTTAAAACCTGGTTTCCTCCTCGTCTCATTACAGATTCCTGCCCTTCATTTACTGCAGGCGAGAGATCCTGTACATGAGGTGTAAAGTGAAGTGAAATGCAGAGGCCAAAGGACGGCCGCTGACGCGGCGGCGCGGCCAGAGGGAAAGGCGCGAGCAAGCGGGGACAGACTGACCTGGAGCTGAGCTCCCTGGCACCGGCCATCTTCCCGCCCCAGCCCGGCCTGCGCCTCCGAGCCCTCCGGTCGGCCCAGCCCGGGCCCGGGAGGCTGCCTGAGCCCTGGCAGGAAGTCTGCTCTTCGACTGACCCAGACAGGGCTCCGCCCAAGCGGCGAAAAGGGAAGTGAAAGTATCTGCCCGCGAGCTGTGCTGTGCAGACGGGGGCCCCCTCCTCCCACAGCTCCGCGGAGCTCCCTGCCCCCCTGACTTGTGGGCCCCGGGATGGGAGACGGGGAGTGACAGCCAGGGCCGGGAGGGCCGGGAGGAGGACGGGGGAGGAGCAGGGCCGGCCTCCAGGGGCCCACTGTTTGTGCAAAGGTAACAGCGACATCTGTGTGACCCCTGCTGTCCTCAGTCTCCTGCCTTCTCTGCGGCTCAGAGTTTAGTACAGGGTCAGGGGTAAACTCTCTATTTGCCCTGTCCTCTTATGGAGATGGCTGTGGGGGGAAGAGAGAAAGAAGTCCAAAGCTTCTCTCTGGCCTGTGGGAGAGCCTGAACCCGTCAGAGTGAGGTCCCAGCGTATGGACACGGGGCAGGAGAGAGTCCAAATGCTCAGCTTTGTAAGCTGGGGAGAATGTTCGTAGCATTCCTGGAACTCAGGCAGAGGTAAGAGAGAAATCGGCAAGGCCCTGGGGCCAGAGGCTGGAGCCAACTTGGTGACAAGGGTTGACATCTGTGCAACGGTCTGAGGTGCCCTGACAAGGGGGTCGCTTCACGACTGCAGCCAGGGGTGCTGAGGAGAGACCTGGCAGTCAGACACTGGAATGCTGAGAGGCAGAGGCTTCACTTCGGATGGAGATAGAGTTTGGAACCAAGATGATCTAGAAATGAGAGAGCAGGTGAGACCAGGTGAGAGGGTAACCCTTGGCCTGGAAGTTCTGTCTGTCCACAGATTTGTTCACTCAGATTCTGACTCAGCATTCCACAAAGGGTGAGACGTGACCAGATGTCTCATTTGAATCAACATAAAAGCGAATCACATTTGAAGATATAACGGAGGGTTTCTACCCTCTCTCCACTTCTTTCTTTCCCCCAAAGGAGCGAGCATCACTGTTCTGGGACAGATTCCAGGACACTGATGGGGCCATCCCTTTCTCCCTCCCTGACTTTAGGGTACAAGGACTTGTAAGCGGAGCCTCTGTTGGGCACGACTGTCCTCTGCTCCCAGGCTCCCCGGGGCACGGAGCTCAGACACGGCTGACACAGACCACGCCTGCCTTTTGTAGTGCCTCTCTCTCTTTTCTGTCCCTGGGCAGAGGATGGACCAGGCCACCGCTGTGCTAGGGGCTGGCATGTATGTGCCAGCTTTCCTGTGGGTTTGCTTAGGGCCCCAAGATGAACACCTGGAATTAAGAGACCAGCTGGCAGCAGCTGGGCGGAAGCGCACAGGGTGGGCACCCCTGGGCTGGGGCTGCTGCTGGCCACAGGGGGAGACCTTCCCGGGGGTCAGAGAAAGCTGGGCATGCGCCACACTCTGTGAGAGCAGGGGTGGTTTGTGAAGCATCCTTAGGCCTCTGTGGAGAAGGCAGTTTCTCTGACCCAGGAAACAACATCAGACCCACTCAGGTTCAGAAAAGGACAGGACCAACTTAAGAAGCAGGTTGAACTCCTAAACACCCTGCTGGAGTGACTGAAGGGGGTTAGGAGGCGCCTGGGGCGTTTTCCGTGTCTGCACAGAGAACCGACAACGGGGACTATTCCTGCTGTTGCGAAAGAATGGGCCTGGAAACCTGCAGAGCAGGAGAGACCGAGACTGAGGAGGGGCCTGGGACAGAGGACCCGCCAAGACGGCCGGCTTTGAAAGCTTCACCAGGAGCAGCTTCTGCTCAGACTTCAGTTGTGAGGCTGAGTCTCCACTGGGAGACCCCTGTGGGGACCTGAGGTTTGTCTCTGAGACAAGACAGGAGGATCTGGGGTCTGAGATTAAAGGGCAGGAGGAAGCAGCAGTCACAGTGACCACTGGGGCAGAGGAACAAGACCCCCAGCACCTCCGTGGGTGTGGAAGTGGAGAGGGAGCAGGGCACCTGGGAACTGAGTGGGAGCACTCAGGCCTTGCTCAGTGTCCCCTTCCAGGGGCAGCACAGCCATCAGCAGGATTCACCTGGACCTCTGCCCCCATCCTGCCTGGGAGACTCTCTGCTTGGGGACAGGGTGGAAGGGGTGAGTCTGCTTCTTGCTGGGTCCCCCTGGGCTGGTCCTGCCTGCAGAGGCCAGGGCTGTCAGCTCCCCAGTGCCAAGTGTACAGTAACAGGGGCCTGGGGAGTGGAGCGCGTTGGTGGGTAGGGGTATACGATTGATTGGGGTTGTCTGAGGCTGTGTGGATAAGCCCAACGTTGAGGTTCAGGTTTAGGGCTCTCTTTTGGCCGCAGCGCTAAGCCCAGTCCAGCTGAAGACAGCTAGTGCTTTGATCCCCATGTGTCTCATCTGTTTGTCCGTTGGTTGCTGAAACTCAAGTGAAGGAGATCTGGGGAGGGTTATACGCCGAATTGGGGGTTCCTCTCCGTGAGTTTCAGTTTCCTGGGATTTTCCCTTCTTTCCCCAAAAGGCTGGTTGCCCTGGGCTTCTTCCCTGGCTCTGCCGACCGGAGAGAAGGTGTGCTTCCTACCAAAGTTCCGGCCATCCTACGCGGCATGGGGGCTGCTCTCAGAGTCAGGTGATAACACACAGGAAATATCTTGTTCTGGCTGCTTCCTCTGAGTTTCGACTTCCCTCCACAGGCAGCCTGCTTTTGTTCACTTTCTAGAAGCCTCAGGCAGTTGTTCTTTGAATATTGTCTTCACAGAGATGTCTTCCCATCCAGTTTATACAGAGAGAGCTGGAGAACCCTATTGTCTCCTCCGGATGGCAGGCCCTGCCCTCTCCACCCAGGTGTGGAGGTGTGTGCTGATGCCCTGGGAGCTGCCCTGGGAGGTGCAGGCTGAAGGGTTGTTATCAAGTGGCCCAGGTCCTCAGAAACGTCAGGTCTCCTGCAGCTCCCAAGGACACAGGCGTGTCCCCCTAGATAAAACCACAGCCAGATTCCTTTGTGGCCAACAGCCCACATCTGAGTCCTGGTAGTTGGGGAACTGACAAGAGTGAAAGTCTTAGTGGCCACACTTGGCCTTGGCTGTCCAGGGGGGATGGGGTAGAAGCTCTCCTTCTAACCTGATGCCCAACTCAGCCTCTATATCCACTGCAGAGGCAATGGAACCACAATCCACCTGCTCTGCCTGGTTCCGGGAATGCTCCTCCAGGTTCTGCAGCCCCTTTGACTGGCCCGGGACACCCCATTCTTCCCCTGAGACATCAGGACCCAGCTCTGGGGTCCCCGGGGTGGGTTCTGTCAGTCAGCTGTGTCTTCCTTGGCTGTCCAGCCTCCTCTGTCCCTTTCTCAAGACACCTGAATTCCTTGGGCTGGGCAGGAGAAGAGGGACTGTGTGCAGGAGAAGAGGGACTGTTGATCAAGGTGCTGGCCCTTGAGGAAGCCAGGTCAGCTGGACTTTCTTTGAGGAGCCGGACTCTCAAGTGAAGTTTGTTAAGGCGTTAAAATGCAGTTGGATAAAATTTGTTTGGTGGCACCTCCTTAACAAGACGGCAGAGATATTCCTGGTGCTCAGTTCCTGGAGCTGCTTTTCTTCGTGCCTGGTTCTGGGGATATTTGCAGGCTCTGAGTCCAGCCCCTGCCCTTTCATGAGCCATTGTGATCCCATCAGTGAAGTCCTTTTCTGTCTAACCTGGATAAAGTTGGTCTCGCTGGCAAAAAGCCCTCATTGATGCAAGGATGTTTGTGTATAAATTGTCTTAATTTACTTACTACATTCAGGGTCAGGCACTGTCAACCCTCATAAAGATCCAGTGAACTATGTACTATTAGTATCTCCATTTTATAAATGAAACTATTGCATGGGGAGGGTAAGTAACTTGTCCAAGGACACACAGCCAGTACATGAGGACTGAGTTTCCACCCACATGGGCTCACTGTAGTCTGTGTTCCTGTACACTAGGCTCCGCTGCTTCTCAGTACAAGTTAGCACTGTTCACAACACCAGAAATAGTCAGGAAGGGCCAACTGCAGTCAAGGCTTGATGAAAGCTGGGAGCTGTGGTAGGGATGACGTGGAGCTATATTTACTGACATGTAACAATGCCCGTTATGTACAACTGATTAGAACAGATTTTATTATTTATATGGTATGATTACTCTCTCTCCATCCTCCACCTCACTCCCACCCCCAAACACACACACACACACACACACTACAAAGTCTAGAGTCATTTTCATCAAATTATCAACCATGGTTCTTCTCCGTATCTGCAGAGACCTGCACAGCCTTGTGCTTCTCAGTGGCAGGAGGTGCAAGGTACAAAAGCTTAGAGTTTTGGAGGGGATAATCTAGTATGTTTCAGACCATTGAGCCTCTAAAAACATACCCATATGCATGTCTCTGAATCTTACAGGGTTTCTTTCTCATCCCCCAGTGTGCATGTGACTCAACCAGGCTTTCAGAACACTCAACGCTTTTTTCTCATCAGGTTCAGTTAACATGCTGTCACTGTGATGGCTAATTTTGTGTGTCAAATTGACTGGACCCTGGGGTGCCCAGATTGTTTCTGGGGAGTCTTTGATGATGTTTCTGGATGACATTAGCATTTGGATAGGTGGGCTCAGCAAAGCAGGTTGCCCTCCCAGTGGTAAGTAGACACCGTTCAATCTGTGAATGGCCTGAATAGAACAAAAAGTGAAGGAAGGGAAATTCGCTCCCTGGTTTTAGGTCTTCAGACTTGGACTGGAATTACACATCACTTTCACTGGGTCTCTGGCTTGCAGATGGCATATCATGGGATTTCTCAGCCCCCATGATCACATAAGCCAATTTCACGTTTTATATGTAAACAAATATATATACACACACACACATACATACACATTCAAGAACTGGGGAAATGACTGCTGGGTGCCTCCGTGGATTGAGTATACTCACCGTTAGATGGACATTACCTTGCTTTACCTCAGACACTCTTAACAGGAGCCATGATGGTGCTTTGTGTCCCAGGTATTAGCATTATCTTAGCTGCTGTATCGACAACTGTTAAAAGACATGTGTGTTTTCCTTTGTCTGGCATATGGTTACTTGAATAAATGGTCATAGGTCCCTTTGGTGAGGAACTCAGGGAATCACTGCATGTACACTTTCTTCTGAGACCTGCCCTCATTTCCTTGAGCAGTTCCAAGATTTGGACCAGATCTGGAAACTGGACAAAGGATCTTGATTTTTTTATTGGGGTAGGTGATTTCAGTCATCTGATCATCAATTTTTAATCTCTTTTGATGGTATATATGAGGCAATATCCTCATTGGCTGCCCAATGTCTTCCTGTAAGGACACTGTGTCCTGTTAGCTATCTCCATAGACATCTATGGGCCAGGGCCCTGGCTGTCATCCTAACCTTGCTGCACATTACAAATATTACTTCATCTTGCTCTGACAGTTATATGCTGCCACCTGGCTTCTATGATTTTGGAATCCTATCGCTTCCGTTGATACTAGGGAATCCAGTTCTGTAAAACATTCCTCCATTCTGCCAACCTACAGAACAGCCCCTGCTAAGCATCTCAAGGATGCTGGTGCCCCTCAGCCATGCGCTGCTTATCACCTTGTTAAGTTACTGTCTCTGAGGCCTCCTGCGGAGCACAGTCACCTGGTGGATGGGTTTTCTAGTTGGAGAGTAGAGCCCTGCCAACCTCCCTAGGCTTTTTCACTCCCCTTTTCCACAGTCTGCCCGGCAGGCCTGGCATCTCAGCTTCCACTTCATCTAGGCTGTACCATGACTTACACCAAGCCTTTAAGAGCCACCCAGAAGCGTACTAGAATTGTCCCCCTTGGCTCTTGCCAGGCTAATTAAGCCTCACGGCCCAGGAGAGTGTTCCTGTATGGACAGTTTTCCCTTTTCCAGTTTCATATTCCACTTTCTTTGTCCAGGACCCACCCTGAGATACAATCTCCTGACAGCCACTGGTACCTATTGGTCCGTCCTGCAGCTCTATTGAAGTAAATTCTCTCTTCCGCTGGCAGGACGACCCAGCACTTTCCCAGTGGGGTCATGCTGGGAGGACTCTGCATAGTCTTCATTCAAGTAAGATTTGGGTGGGGGTAGGTAAGGGTCTGTCTTCCAACAAGGGACAGGGGACTCTTCTGCAGATCCAGTGGGTAGAGGGGAAACTGAAGCTCAGAGTTCTTACTTGCATCCACCTAGAAAACCCAGTTCTGATACAGGGGTCACCCCTTCTTTACCAGGGCCCTGACTAGCACGGGAGGCCATACTGAGTTCAGACTTCATTCTTCTCTGAAGTTCTGCCAACCTGAAAGTAGGGCCTATGTCAGGCCTTCCTTACTATCTGCCTTCCAGATGCAGGTGGGAGAGTCTCTCTGCTTTAGGTGGTGATGAATAGATTTAAGCCTGTCATTTCCTCTTTTCAATACATTAGTGGCACTTTGCAGTAGCCACCAAAATCTACAGTTCTTATGGTTACTATTTCTCCCTTTGTAAATGCCACATGATTTCACTCAGCCCCTGCTGTATCTTTCCCCTTTATGTCATCCAGTTTCCTGCAAGTGAAAGTTTGGCCACAGCACTATTAAAGCCCACTGGGGACCATCAGTATTCCACCTGTTGCCACTGGCCAGATTGTGATCCAGCTGCAGAACCCATTCCTAGGGCCTGCTTGACAGGATCGTTATCTTAAGTTGGGTTTCCTAGAAGAAGAGCCTGAGATGAAGTCTCTTGAATAAGTGATTTATTTTGAATTAGTTCAGGAGAAAGGGATGAGGGAGCGGGACAGTACTATGGGAAAAGCTAAGCAAGGATGTGGTCACAGCTGCAGACTAGCTCCAGCCTGATCCCATGGGGAGCACAGGGGTGTGAATCATACTGCAGGGTTGGGTTCACCTTGGGGCAGGAACCCGGCCCACAGGCCAAGGAAGTGCAACCTTCAGGTGAAGCTGGCTAGATCTGGTGGAAGGCAACGCTCTGAGGAGACGGGTTCGGGTTGCAGGGGCTGAGAGATGAGTCATCTGTGCACAAAGGGGATTTCCAGGACGGCAGCAGCACCCACTACACCAATGAACTGTTCTCATTCGTTTGCTGAATAGCAAACACTTCCTTAAAATTCTTCTCAAATTCCGCCTCCAGTCTAAGTCCCATTAGGCCAAAGTCATTGAACTGGAAAAAATAAAATGAAGAGGAAAGTAGTGAGCCTTAGCGTCAGTTTCATTGGGCACCTTGCAGCTGAGAATGATCAGGACTCTTGTCTTGAACACCCCAAGTTACAGGTACCAGGCTATGCTTAAAAACTCATGCAGAGAAGAGTAACATGTTTTCTAAACGGAAATGAAGAAAATCATTACCACACTTGGGGACTCTTACTTCTTCGACTGGATTATTTATTTTCATGAGAGTTAGAAAAGTGACCTGTGTTCCTTGTAATGATGCAAATAGTACGATGTGTGTCAGTTTGATCTCTGACCTTCGTTTCCATTGTCAGTTTACTGTTCCCCTCTGGTGACCACTGTTAACTGTATGGTCCCCACATGTAAATGGAATCTGGAGTTTGAGATTTCTGAGAGGTTAGATGAGTGTATGCTGGAGAGAGAAAAGAAGCTCAGTATGGTGGGGAGGGTATAGCTCAAGTGGTAGAGTGCATGCTTGGCATGCACAAGGTCCTGGGTTCAACCCCCAGCACCTCCACTAAAAATAAATAAATAAACCTAATTACCTCCCTCTGCCTCCCCCTCAAAAAGAAGCACAGTATGACTTTGAGACTCTAGTCTCCTCTCCCTGGGTTTGGAGCAGGCAGGGCTCCGCTGTTCTCAATGGCACGTGTAGGATGGAATGAGCTCTCAGGGGCCTGGGGTTCTGGTTGCAGGGACACCTCTGACGCACTGTTACTACACCTTGGTGGGCTTCAGTCCTGAACAGAAAAGCTACTGACGTCCAGAACCCTTGCTTTGTAGGCTTGTCATAGGGTAAGGGAAACTGTAAACTTTGCCAGGTACCAGACAATGAGGGCAGGGCCATTCAGCGGACAGAAGATTAAAATGGAAGCAGGTAGAGCCATGTACCTTGTAAGATGCCCTGTGGTTCTGAAAGATGAGGCGCATGTCCTGCACAAACCCCTCCACGCGGGGGTAACCCTGCTCATTCAGTCTCTTTTTTATTTTGTTCAGCCACATGGGTTCCTTTAGGTTTCGAGAAGCCCCTGCCATCTGGTGAAAAACAAAATCAATAGGAGACTTTCTGGCAGAATTTGGCACGTGCCTTATGAGGATTCCCATCAAATTCAGTAGAGACACAACCAAGTAAAGGTAACTGCACGTTCTCACTCCCATGGATTCCAATCTCAAACCCCAGGTGCCCGTTTCGAGGTCAGATATCATCATGGCAGCCTGTAATCATGGTTTGTTCTTACTTACATAATAATAATATGGAATCTTCGCAAAAAAGGAGCTCTCTGAATGGCAATAGACCTTCAAGAGGAGGAACTCACACCTCTGCAAAAGAAGGCGGCTGTGAGTGAAAAGCAGCTTGGAGACAGTGAGCTCACGCGCATGCCCAGGCAGAGGCATGGCTCACAACAGTGTCTGAAAGGTTCCCCAAACGTGTGGCTCTTGGAAAGAGACATGCAATGACTGCAGACAAGTCCTGGTGCGATCTCAGTGTGAGCGAGGCACGGCTTACCCTTTGGTTGCCCTTCGCGACCCTGCCCG